TCCCCCTGCAAGAGTGAGGTCAAAGAGTACAGTTTACACAAATATAATCAAACTCCCATCATAACAGTCGTCGTCATCGTTGACATCATCATCGTCATCATCATCTCCATTACCTCCATTATCTCCATTATCTCCATGATAATGGAGATTTTTTCCATCATCCCCATCATCATCATCATCTATATCATAATCTATATCACCATCACCATCACCATCACCATCACCAACACCAACACTATCACCATCACCATCACCATCACCATCACCATCATTTTCATCTTCATCTTCATCATCTCCATCGTTCATCCTCCAGCTCTCACGCACGCATTCACCCGCACATCACTCCATCACCTTCATCATGTCTATCAAAGGTTTCATCACTCCCGCAGCGATCAGCTTCTTCTGCATTGTCTTCGTGCTCGCCAGCTGCCGCATCATCATGGCCGTCGCGCATCCTTCCTCACTGTTGCCCAGCAGCGAGACGAGCTTGTCTTCTATCCCGACAGCCAACAGTCTGTGCTGTTTGCAAACAGCGTCACTTGCAGCAGCAACAACACACAACAACACGTCCAGCACAATCATAAGGAAGGCACATCCGCAACAACACAACAACACAGCACAACCCTGCATGCTTACATGACATTCTCGGGAGAAAGACAGGTTGAGCAGAGCCAGGACTGCCGCAGCACGCTTCTCCTTTCTCTTCGTCGCCAGCCTCCTCCCCGCTATCGCCTCCACGGCCCCCAGACTAATCAACTTTTCCCTCAGCGCTCCTTCGACTGCCACGTTCCGGATACACATCATCGCGAACAGGTCAAACTTAGCCTGAGGAGGAGGGTCCAGTACGAACTTGACAATGTCGTTGAACAGAGCCGTACCCTGTCATTCTCATTCACCTCCAACCCTCCCCCCCCCCCCAGCTTGATCTTGTTCCCTCCTTTTCCTCATTGACTATCCTCGTCCCCTTCATCCCCCCTTGTCCTCCCATGTCCAGCCCCCCCCTTCCTCCCGCGCCCCCCCCCACGATCTTACCTCTCCTCTAATGTCAAGGGTGCGAAATGTTGCCTTCGCCTGCAGATCTTTGTGTCAGGACTCTCCTCACTCACCTTCACTATCCCTCTCTTCCCTCTTCCTCTTCCTCTTCCTCTCCCTCTCCCTCTCCCTCTCCCTCTCCCTCTTCCTCTTCCTCTTCCTCTTCCTCTTCCTCTCCCTCTCCCTCTCCTCCTTCTCTCCCTCTCGCATCTCAGTACAACACTACAATCGTTCCCCTCCTTTCCTCTCTCCCTCCATCGGTCCTCTTCTCTCTGAACATGCTCTCCTTTTCCCCTCCTCCTCTTCCTCTTCCTCCTCTTCCTCACCTTCCGCGCGTCCCCTCTCCCGCTGTTGGCGTACCAGCTCTCAAACTCTGGTGCTGTCAACCTCCGCATGTTGTTCGACGCATACTTCTCCAGCTCCTTGTGGACCTCGTCTTCCGTCTGACCCGCCTCCTGCTCCCTTCGTCAGCTTCTCTCTCCTCCCTTCATCTCCTCCCCTTCTTGCTTCTTGTCTCTACCGCGCTCCTCCCTTCCCATCTCCTCTCTTGCTCTTCTCTTCCTCTTTTCTTCCCTTCCCGTCCCTCTCCTTTCTCTCCTCTCCTCCATCCAACTCCTCCTATCCCCCACCTCCACAAACTCGTTCAGTATATCAATCAATGTCTCCAGTGCGCCGAGGCTGACAACATCAAAGTCACCATCACGTCAGCACTGCAAACAGCACAAGATGCTCGAGCAGGGGCCTTCTCTTACCTGTGCATGTCATGTCGACAGCTGCTGTTCAGCGCCATGTACTGCAAGACAACAGCTCAA